AAACCAGCCTGTGCAGTTCTAGCTCTGCTGCAACTGACACGTAGCAAGGCAACCACAGACCTGCCATCGCCATCTATTTTTCTTCTGGCACAGCCATATGGGCAGAAGAATATTGTATATTTCTGTTAGGCACGTGGGTTGAGTGGTGGTAGAACACTGCTGACTCCATGCAGATCCACAGTGCTGGTGTGTTGTAGAGAACAGGGGAGCTAGACCTTCAGCCATCCTGGTGGTGTGCCAGGGCAGCTGCATTATTAATGTCCTTCTACCAAAGTAGTACAAAGCTGAGGTGCTAACCTGCTGCTATAGTTCCCTTTTGGATCTCCTAGACAGACTCAAGGTAACTGGGAAACCTCTTAAAAGTGTTCTTTGGATCAGAAGGAATTGGATCCTCTCTCTTTTGAGCCACCTCTGCCCCAGTGGACAGTTCTTTGCTCTAGGGAACTGAGGCCCCCATCTGCCAACGTGATACATCATCTAGGCACGTTTGTTGTTTGCCAGGGGCTTGCGTTCATGATATTGTGGAAATATTGCCAAACACTTGTCCAGCCCTCAGACTATTACTCCCTGTTGCTCTTCCATGCAGGCAACAATGACACTGCTGGCAAAAATGTGGAGCATATCAAACAGGACTACATGGCTCAGGGGGCAAGGCTGAAGGGCATGGGAGCCCAAGTGATGTCAGCCTTGATCATGCCAGCGAAGGGGAAGGGTCTGAGGAGGAGTAGATGAATTCCGTGGGTCAACAACTAGTTGTGCAGCTGATGTCAGTGGCTTGCACCAAGAAACACTGTTTCATTATGATCCCAGTAAGAAGGCACTCAGACTCTGTAAAGTACCAGTTAAAATTACACTTATCAGAGATAACACTATAAAGAAAGAGTGGATAGTATAGGTAATCTTATGTCCCTGCAGATGCTGGGCACCCTGAGTTATGCAGCACTGGATGGTCCTAGAATCAGGTCACAAGATGCTGAGAAGATCCCATCTTTACAAGCATTACCTCATATAGCTCCTCTGAACCTTACAGGATTTTATTACAAGGAAATAGATCCTATTTATCATTTCTTCTGTCCAACAAAAGGGTGTTTGCATGGGTACTTCTTGCTGCAGCCTTAAATAAAGGTAAGTATACATGGTGTAATTGCTGATAATGAGTGGGAACTGCCTGCAGGCTCCTGTTACAATCAACCGGATAAATTTATCCTATGGACAAGGGATATGGGCAGCACAACACGAACACCACACTGCACACACATCACAGAGCAGCACAGCACAGACCTGTGTCTACTCAGGTTAATTGTTATGTGAATCACTAACTCCTCAACGGTCTTCTGGTCAGCATCACTACAGTTGGCAACAGGGTTTGGTTTCTATGATCATGGGACCCTCTTTGAGGACCAACAGTTGCTTGGAAGAGATGCTTGGAAGGGATGGCATCCATCTGACTAAGTGGGGCACACACATCTTTGCCAACAGGCTGGCCAAGCTGGTAAGAAGAGGGTGGTGGTCGGTGGACCCAGAGGGTGGTGATCAGTGATGCAAAGTCTAGTTGGAGGACAGTAACTAGTGGTGTACCCCAGGGGTCTAAACTGGATCCAGTCCCATTTAACAACTTCATTAGTGAACTGGATGATGGAGTAGAGTGTACCCTCAGCAAATTTGCTGACACAAAATTGGGAGGAGTAGTTGATACTCCAGAGGGTCATGCTACCATCTAGAGGGACCTCGATAGACTGGAGAAACGGGCTGACATGAGCCTCGTGAAATTCAACAAGGGGAAGAGCAAAGTCATGTAACTGGGCAGGAACAATCCCATGTACCAGTACATGCTGGGGGCCACCCAGCTGGAAAGCAGCTTGGCAGAAAAGGACCTGGGTCCCTAGTGGACACCAACTTGAACATGAGCCAGTAATGTGCTCTTGCTGCAAAGAATGCTAATGGTATCCTGGGATGCATTAGAGAAGTGTTGCCAGCAGGTCAACTGAGGTGATACTTTCCCTCCTCTCAACACTGGTGAGGCCACACCTGGAGTATTGTGTCCAGTTCCAGGCTTCTCAGTACAAGAGGGACATGAACATAGTGGAGAGTGTCCAACAAAGGGCCACTAAGATGATGAAGGGACTGGAGCATCTCTGCTGCAAGGAAAAGCTGAAAGAGTTGGGACTGTTCAGTCTGGTAAAGATGAGGCCTGGGGGTGATCTTATCAATGGCAGAAAGAACACTGAGCCAAGGTCCTTCCAGTGATGCCCAGTGACACGATGAGAAGCAACAGGCGCGAACTGAAACATAGGAAGCTCCCCCTGAACATCAGGAAACACGTTTTTACTGTAAAAGTGGCCAAGCCCTTGTACAGGTTGCCCAGAGAGGTTGTGGAGTCTCCATCCTTGGAGATATTAAAAACTTCTCTGGATATGATCCTGGGCAACTGGCCCTGGATAAGCAGGGGGTTGGATAAGATGACCTCCAGAGATCTCTTCCAACCTCAACCATTCTGTGATTCTGTGAAGAATCCTCACAGCGAGGAGGAGAGGAGCTCCTGTGAGGTGGGGTCTCTGGGATTTAAAGTTGAGAAAGAAGATAAAGTTCAGGAAGGAGGAGAACAATCAGAAAGCAGATTGATATGATATGGAGCCAGTTGAAGTTTACTTGAAGGCTGAGCAGTGTGTGGACATAGGATATGAGTTCCTGAGAGTTAGGGTACACT